GACCAGGCTTTCTAAAGCTTCTAACTTTTCAGAGGCCATTGTCCTACCCAGACAGGTTCCTCTGTTAGCCATTTTAAAGGTAGGGCTTTTGGTTCCTCTGTTTGTTCAGCATTTTTATTTTGTTTTTGTACTGCCTGGATATTTGGTCTCTGTCTTGTATAGTACTTAACAGTATTCTTTCCACAATCATGAGGTCGTCTATGGTTGCTATCTAATACTGGAGGAATGTTAATCTGTGTATTCCATTGCTGTAATAGATCACGACCCCATAAATTTATCACTACATCAGCCACATATGGTCTCAACCTCCCTCTCTGTCCTTCTGGTCCTATACATTCAATCCATCTCGTGCTTTGTTTTACCTGAGACAGGGTTCCAATCCCTAAGAATTGAACATTTACCTCATGCAGGGGCCATCTTTGAGGCCAAGATTTATTAGATATGATAGTTACATCAGCCCCAGTGTCCAGGATACCCTCAAACAGTCTATTTTTCATCTTAACTATGAATCTAGGCCTATGACTAGTTATAGTGGTTTGCCAAAATATACATTTTTTTATTTCCTTCTGTCATGTTTGATTCAACTTCCATCACTAGTTTGTCATCCAGAGCAGTATGAGTTTTTATAATAGGCACAGAATTTTCTAATTGTCCTGTGGGAGATTGTCTTCCACTGTGACTGGGAATGTGCAAACCACCTGTGATGTGGGGGCCTTCAAGAGGCCCCCCAAGGAGTTTCCTGATGGTAAAGGGTTTCTTTGCTTGTCTCTAGTGGATCTACACTCATTTGTCCAGTGTCTGCCTTTGCCACACCTTCTACATAACCCAGGAGGCTGAGGCCTTCTGTTTGATTCATTCCTAGGAGTGTTATTTCTAGGGAAGCTTTGCCTACAATTTCTTTTTAGATGTCCTATCTTACCACAGTTATAACATCTGACATGTTGATATCTCTTCAAACCTTTGGGGATGGCTTCTCCTACCCAAGCTTCTAAGTCACCATAGTAAGGAACTCTGTTATCTTATTATCTTCTCTGACCTTTAGATATGGCTTCTCCTACCCATGCTTCAGTCTTATTGTCATTATACTCAATGGTGCCTGTATATAGGACCCATTCATCCAAGGGTGCTGATCGCATTTTTAAAGGCCAAAGCACCTGTTTGCATTGAGGATTCGCATTTGCATAAGCTAAAGATTCTATGAGTATTCGCCTAGCATCTATGTCTGCTATCTCTAATTGTACTGCCCTAGATAATCTTTCTAGAAAGATACTAAAAAGTTCTGTATGTCCTTGCCTTATCTTGGTATAGGGTTCTATCCTCTCTCCTAATTCATGAACCTTATCCCAAGCATTCAAAGCTGCTGTACTGCGTAGAGACAAGATATGTTCATCATAGGCAGCTTGGGTTTCTGGGTCAGCATAGAGACCCTCACCAATAATTTTATCTTGGTGAGCTTTATAACCTTTCTTTAAGCCCTGAAGTTCAAGAGCTTTTGCTTCCTTTCTCCATAAAGCCCTCCATTCTAATTGAGAGGAGTTTTCAAGGACAGCTGATATTAATTGATCCCAATCCTTAGGGCTTACCTTGTTATTCCATGCCCATGACTCTACTAATTGCTTCACATAAGGTGAGTGCATGCCATAAGAGACTACCGCTTCCTTTATACCTTTTAGATCTTTCATACGTATTGGTTCCCACTGATATGCAACGACACCTTTTGGATGTTTCTTCTTTGCTGGCTTTTCATGAGTAGATACAGGGAAAGCTCCCCTGACCCTAAATGGTGTGGAAAATTTTAAATCTTTTTCATGCTCTGTTACCTGTAGTTCTTCTTCTGATGTATCAGACTGAAGGTCTTCTAAAGTATGAAATCTATTCACCATTGTTTCTTTGGGTGTCTGAACTTCTTGAATCAAATAACTTTCTAGAGACTTCATTGCATCAGTCAGTTTCTTACTTTCTCCAACTACAAATGATTCCATGTTTTTAATCTTATCATCCTTAGATATTATCTGAATGGCATGTAAGCTGCCTTCCAAAAACAATGTTCTATCTGCTAGCTTGCCATTATCCTCAGACATGGAAGAGATTCTGTCATCTAGTCTTTCTAGCTGATGTTCCAGTTTTTTAAACTTATTAGTAGCTTCCTCCCACCAGGAACGAGCTGTTTCTGCTAGTTTGTTAATGCATTGCATTGTTTCTGTTCTGGTTATTGAGGTATCTGACATGAAACAAATTATACCTGTCAGCTTGCCAATGCCATCTTCAATATTCTGAACCTTTCTTTCTATACTTTCTATGCTTTGAATTCTATCATTTTCAATGTTTCGAATCTTTGTCTCTATGCTTTGAATTCTATCATTTTCAATGTTTTGAATCCTTGTCTCTATGCTTTGAATTCTATCATTTTCAATGTTTTGAATCTTTGTCTCTATGCTTTGAATTCTATCATTTTCAACATTTCGAATCCTTGTCTCCATGCTTTGAATTTTATCATTTTCAATATTTCGAATCCTTGTTACTGAGTCTCCTATGGTTTGTACAAGTTCCTTATTGTTTGCTGTAATCTCAAACCATTTCTTTAAGAATATCATGTTAATGATAAAACCCATTGCTATTACAAAATAAAAGTATATATTGGTCCAGTCATAAGTTTCTTCTGCTAAAATCCCTTCTACATATGAAGTAAAATAATTCCTAAAGTTCTGCATAGTAAAATTATCTGCCATAGTTATGGAACAATTTATCTCAGATTTTATATCAGCTTAAATTTCAAAGGATTTTACAATTACCTTAGATGTAATTCTGCTGTCCTGGAACTTTGATGCTTTTAGTTGTAGATCTCAGCTTGTGGTAGTTACGCCTGGAGGTGTATCACCAAATAGCGCCTAGCTGCAGAGGCTTGTCTGATCCCGGTTCTGCCTAGAAGTGTGACACCAAATATTGTCTGGCAACAGACGATCCTTCTGATTCCGGTCCCTGTAAAATAGCTCTTAACAAACTATGACAAGCAGAATTTTGTTAAATGGGGACTTTTGGAGTTACTTGGAACACAAGACGAAATGCATGCAAGCCGAGTGCCCAAGGGCTGGTGCGGTGGAGCGGCAAAGTCCCGTGCGGAAATGGGCAAAAAATGTTAAGCAGTGAGTGCCTTCAGGTCTGCTTTAGCGGCAAAGATCTCCTTTGCTGTAAGGAAGAGGCAAATGTCCCAAAGCTGTGGTGAGTCTACCTGGTTAAACCCTGCCTGTTGGGGAAGGTGGGGGAGGGGGGCGGCTTCTGCCGCCTGGGGGCGAAACCCAGGTAAATCTGCTTCTGACACCAGATATCGTGGTAAATAAGGATCGGGATAAACAAATAGGCCGAATAGATGTTTATTCAGGGAGAAATAACTTACAACCTAGACAGATGAACACCAGGAAATTCAACCCGATCCTCTCCTGTCCCAGTCACGCCAGAAAGAGAGCTCTTTTTACAGTTTAGTGAGGATGCTTAAGAAAATAGATATGGATTTTCTTGGAATGTTACAAAATGGATGACTTTTGTGGTTCTCATCAGGTATGATTTAAAGGCATCTTTTGATGAGAGGACAGTTTGAGTGCAGTTTCTATATTCAGTTTGCCCCAGAGCAAAGAAAGGCTAAACACAAAGAGATTGTGAAATAATTAATCTCAACCTGAAAATTCTCATTAAATGTACTTTTAAATTATGCTACATTTAAAATTTTTGTGTATACAATTGTGTACATGTCCCATAGCATGTAATAGATGTCAGAGGTTATCTTGTAATGTGGTCCTTTTTATCCACCATGTGGGTCTAGGGATATAGCTCTGGTTGTCAGACAGAAAGCAGGGAAGGTGACTTCATCCACTGACCCATTTGTATTTCAACAACTTTCATTTTTCTGTAAACTAAGACTTCATATTTGAAGACCCACTAAATCCACATATAATCCATATTCATTAGCAAATGTTCCAAAAGGGAGCATATTTGTCTATATGATATGATTCAGTATTACTCAGAAAGCATAAATTGTGTTAATGCATAACTAAGTCAATCTTATTAACATATTAATTCAAATAATATGCATTTTCTTTCCACTAACATGCTGCATTATAAGCAAACTGCCTATCAAAAAGGAAAACAAAAATGAAAAATGACATATAACTTTTTTATTTTTTTCAGTTTTTGTTTTAGACACAAGGATTATCTCTGTAACTCTGGCGATTCTGGAACTCAATGTGGACCAGGCTATACTCAAGTTGACATAGATGTGTCTGGATATGAGACCTAAATACTGGGATTAAAGGCTTGTGCTGGCACCATGTATCTCAAAAGACCTTTTAAAATATATTATTGATTGATATTCTATGCAGCTTTGTCTGGATGTACACACCAGAAGAGGGCATTGGATCTCATGGGACAACAGTTATAGACAGTTGTGAGCTGCCATAGGTGTGTTGGGAAATGAACCCAGGACCTCTGAAAGAGCAGCTAGTTTTCTTAACTGTCAAGCCACCTTTGAAACCTTATCACGTCCATCTTAAAATATGAAAGATGAACAACATGAATACAGTATTTTTATTTAGGTTAAATCTTCATTCTTGGTTGAAAGAAGTAATAAATATTGAACTAGAAGCAAAGTCCACCAGATGTTTGAATGGAAAATGTCAGAGGTCTTACTAATTTTTACTTTTTATTAATTACTTAAAAAATAATAATATGCCAATAAAAAACATTCTTGGTTGACAAATACATTTCACATTTTGGGAAATACAGTGAAATTTGTAACCAAAGCCTCTTGAGAGAGAACTTCTGCTTTATTCATGGAGTTCACAGATTTTTCTATTCTTGTCTGTAGTATGGTAAACCCTAATATATAGATAGATTACTAAACACAACTCTGTCATAGCAAGGAGAAGGTATGAGAGATTATTACTCTGTAAAACAACACTTTATTTTTTGATTTTCCATTTTCCCTTGTGTTCCTGATTTGACAATAGCTTTATTCAATCTCATCTTCAGATTTACCATCAAAATGGAGTGCATCTACAAGATGAGCGAACTCCTTAGCAGCATATCAGCACTGGTATTTGAAATAGTCATCGCAAACAGCCAATGCTGGCGCCTGTGGGAATTCGACGATGATGTCTTTGTGTTTTTTGGCCTGTGGGAAGCTTATTACCCTCAAGAGTTTAATGTCTCAGGCACAGTAGTTAAGATGCTGGTGCATACCCCTATCAATTCCACCTGGACCATTTCACCTGAATTTCAGTGGGCACAAACCCTGATAATGTGGGCCATTTTGATGAAGCTCGTAGTCCTGATTTTTGGTGCAATCGCTATTAAGATCAGCTGCATGAGAGACCCATTTGTGGAACTGCAGATATATAGCTACAAGGTCTCTGCCTTCACTCTTTGTGTTAGCAGCCTCTTCACATTAGTTTCAGTGAGCTGGAACCACTTTGCAGATCATTATGGCCAAACAACTCTTGACTTTCCACCTGACTTTTCAGTCAAAAAAGAAGCTTTGATAGAAAAGCACTATACTGGTATGTTCCCAGTTGGGGTTCTGATAGCCATCATGTCACTCTTTGGTGTGGTCTTCTATCTCTCTGAGATAAGCTCACTGAAACTACAGAGTCTGGTGAAGACCAAGGGTGCTTGCATAGTGGTCAATTAAGAGGCCTGAAGTAAGGACACCTTCATTTGCAGAATCTGTCAGAAGGTTCTTGAAGAGCTTTCACACTTACACTAAAAATTCCTGTAGTTATCAACTCATTCTAAATAAAGCATCAACTTGATTCTCTGAGTCTATCTAAATTAGTTCCTCCTCTATCTATCTAAAGAGATCCTTTATCTGAATGGTTTCACAGGTTGAGCTCCCATTTATCTCCCTGTCTCCTCTAAAATGCCCTCTGCACTTGCAAACTCCTCCTCATAAGAAAACCAAATTTACAAGGAAAAACCATAACCAAACAAAACAAAGAAACAAAACACAACAATAACAAAAACAAACAGGCAAACATAGGAAAGGAAATACAAAAGAAGAAACGAAATCTTGTGGAACTTGTAGTGTGACCCATTGAGACACACAGTTAACACTTTATTCATCTTTCCTTCCAAGTGTTCATTGCCACAATTATATGATCTGTCTTGAGGCCTCTGGTGTCTATAACAGAACCCATAATGGGCTCTCGGGGGACTCCTCTTGAGTATTCTCTTGTTGTCTGTGTCATGGAGATCCTGCTGTCTCAGATCTGTAGGACTGTCCCCTTCACATGCTCCAACATTTCATAGATTTGGTGGAAGTTGGGGTGAGCTAACATATAGTACTGGTCCTGGGCCTAATTGTAGTTGTGTTGGTCAGCTCGTGATATTTCCCTCATAGTCACTACATGGGTGAGCTCTCCAGCACTGCTTATGCTATCTCACCCAATGCAGCCCACAGCAAGGGACAGGGGAAGTTCTCCTGCTCTGGGGGCCTCAGATCCAGGTCCCCCTCACTCATACCTGTAGTTATCAGGGTAAGCTCTACTGTTTTTCCCAGGAATGGAGAAGGTTTCTGTTTCCTAAGGAGGGAGGGACAGCTCTCCTGCTCTTAATCCCTCAGGGCTGACTCACCACAAACCCTGTTAACAGGGTCAGCTTTGGTGTACTTCCCAGGTGAGTTGCATCGCGCACTCTCCTGTGGTATAGTGCCCCATTTCCTATGTGCTCTAGCTGGTGTAGTGCCCACTCTCCTGAGTGCTGTAGCTGGTGTAGGGCAGTGCTAGCCAGTTCTCTCACTCTAATGACTCTGGGGCCAGCTCTTTCACTGCCACAGGTAGCACAGGACAGATGGGTGACAACTTTTCTTCACAAAGGTCATTCCTTTTGCTTTCAACCCCTCGGGGCTGAAACATGGTGAGCTCTAGTGCGTTGCTCAGACTAGAAGTACAGTCTACTTTATCATTCACTGCAGCCTGTGAGGATCAGGTCTACCTCTCCCATCTTATGACCGCAGGGCCAGCTCTCTCACCTGCCACAGTTAGGAATAGATGCCATGGCTGACTTTGGAGGGGGAGTGTATATGATTGCTCTCCTACTCTCGTGAACTATATTTCAGCTCTAGTGTGCTTTCCAGATTAGGTGTAATTGTATTGTGAGGCATGCTGCTATCTTTCTTGAGTGTAGTGGCACGCTCTGCCCTGAAGGTTAGGGACAACTTGCATGTTGCATTATCCAGTGAAGGGCAGGAGAAGCCATCCAAGTGTTTTTTAATGGCATGGCTGGCTCTACAAATCATGGTACCTATGACCCCCATGATAACACAGGCAATGGATGTCACCCCAGACCCCAGCTGCAGTAAAACCATGGACCCAGACATGTTCGTCAGAATTACTTTGGGCCTGAACACTATGGCTGCCAAGGTGACAGCATAGGCCACACAAATCACCATGCCCCTATTTGCAGCATGTTCTCCCAGGTATTATCATGGTCACATGTGGCTGGTTAGAATCCAGCCAGCTTCAGGGCCCTTGGTGACAACTGAAAACATGGACTTCACCCCAAATCTCTGGCCTCTACAGATCCATTGACCCAGAATTGGCTAATTAAAGCAGCTTGCCCGTTGTTATTTCCATGGTTCTAACTGGCAGCTCAGGCCTTCCAAATCAGCATGATTTAGGGTGTGGCACAGTACTAGGACACTGACATAGTCTGAAGTAGCAGATCAGACTGGTCATCCTCATAGTCCTCTATGAAAACCAGAGCCCCAGACAGGAACTGAGACCCTGGTGCTGTAAGGCCACAGACCAAGAAATTGTGCTCTGTAGCAGCACTGGCCTGGATGACACTATGGCCCTACGTTAGAGCTGAAGGCACTCAGATCACAAGGTCCACGGTGGCACCATGGTTCTTGAACCCACTCTTGACCAAAAGTTATAGCCCAGACTCCAGGCATCTATATGGCATTTGGGGATATCAATTGCCAAGGGCTTCAACTAGCCCCTGGCTACAGTAGACTCATGGACACAAACATAGCCAATATTCATAGCCCTGATCCAGACAATACCACGGTCCTGGTTGATAACCCTGGCTTACTCAAATTGGCATGGCAAAACCAGTGCCACAGCCCTTTTACACTAGCATGGTTACATGTTGTGGAATGAACATAGACCCTGATGGTAACATAGGCCAGGGACAGCAACACAGATTGTGGCAGAAGCGCTACCATGGACACAGACATGCTCCTAGACAGCAACCAGAGCTATGTTGTCACCATGTCCCCAGGATGCTGTGCAGGCTACACATATTGGTGTGTCAGCATGGCCCTTGGATGCAACATGGATCCAGGTGTAAGTCCAAACCATAGGCCCCTGCACAGCCCACAATGATGACAGGAGCCAAAGTCATCAAAAGAGGCCTCAATGGCCGCTCTAGGTCCTATATCAAGATGGAACACTTGGCCATGGCCCAGGCCAGATCTCTGCCTTGACTTAGGTGGCCTGTTGGATGTTCACATCACCCTGTTCCTCACCACACTCACCACTCCAGATCCACTACTCTCTCTGTAGCTTACAGACCAGTCTCTCTCTCCCTCTCTTCCCAGCTCACTACCCTGTATCTTGTCCCCAGAATAGTCCCTAATCACCAAAACCAGGGTGCTGAGTAGAGTCACAGATGGTAGTTGGTTGAGTACTACCCCACCAAGGCAGAATAAATCCACTCACATACTTCCAGCATAATGTGATACAAGTAAATATTATTGTTTCAGAAAGGATGAAGGTGGCCATATCAAGACAAGATCCGGCAAAACAAAATGCTAAACTAATGAAGATAATTCCCAAATCCAGCAGTTCCACATCTCCCTACAACATAATGTCATGAGGAAGTCATTTTCATTCAAAGGGCCTAATGTAGCATACTGTCTCTTTTTTGAGCTTTCTATACTACACACATGCAGGTTTCCTTGAGGTCCACATCACATTTCTTGCTTCTTCTCCATCCCGGGTACCAAATGCAGCTTGGTCTTCTCCTTTACATCTTCATGCAGGACTTTATGAACACGTTTGCAGAAACTTTATCTCCAACACACATTTCCTAGCTCCATAGTATTTCATTTTCATTGTCCACAATTTCAGCACAAAGTGGATTATGGTACATGGACCAAGTTCTTTCTTCAGGATGCTGTGGATTCTGGTTATAATTAATTTCTGCCTACTTGGCAAATCTAGAGTTCCCTTGACAATGGAAATCTTAGTTGAGAAATGCCTTAAAGAATTTGGCCTGTAGGAAACCATGTAGAGCAGTCTCTTGATTAATAATTGATCAGTGAGGGCCCACAGCTCAGTGGGTTGTGCCACACATAAAAATATGTTTCTGTGTTATAAAAGAATTGAAGTACCTCAGTGAGTATGCCAGTAACAAGAACATTTGGTCCTGCCTCAGGATTCTCCATTGACTCCTGTTCTAAATTCCCTTAGTGCCTGACAATTAAACTCATATTTGGAGTTTTCTAGTGGGCACACACATGACCAAAATCAATTGCAACTGTGACATCTCCTCGTTAAATTGCTGTTGTCTGTATGTACAATCGGAGCTGGTTCTGCCCAATACCTTGCATATGTTGATACCAACCCCTGGATGGACACATTGCTTAACCAAATTAGGTGCTTCAATGAACCTCCATATTCCCAGGCCTACTCATGGTCAGAGACTTATGTAGCTGCTTTGCCTGTTCAGTGTCTCTGAACCTCATACATCTGCATAATCTCCACAGACTATTTCCTAGACCTGGGTGAATATCATGTGTTAGCCTCAAAACTGCAATTCCATCCTATTTCTTGTCATGCAACTGTTATAACACATTATACACTTGAGTTTCACCAAATCCTACCCTACTTGATCCATCTCCTCACTTCAATTCCACACTGTGTTTTCAGGGAGCTAACACAAGATTGGCCTGGTGTACCCTCACATCCGAGTGTTCCAGTGCCTTCACCACACTCTCAGGCTCACCCGTGGAGATGAAATTCATACAATTGATTTTAGTGATCAGTTTTCCAGGAAGGATTGCTGCAACTTCTCCATTATATCCAATTCCTACCTCCAAATGCACAGAATGCATATGGATGAGCCTGATGGAACTAACCAAAGGCTGCCATACTCTCTTGTCTATTGCTTTAGCTCTGGGTTTGCAGACTGCTTAAAATATTTGCTCTGTGAGAACCAAAATTGTTTCCTGCAAGCAGCTTTTCACAAAACAGAGTAGTCCTACTAATACAGGTTCCCCCAGTGGTCATACCATATAAATATTCCCAGACCAGAGCCTGCTAATATCAAATCCACAACCCCAGGTATAACTCATGATTCTCAATTCAGATATACACATACATTGGTTAAACTCAGTTGCTCTAAGAGGCCTCTGGAGAGCCCCAAACCATCCAGGGCCACATCTTCTGCCATGTGAGCCTTGGCACTGCCCTACTAGGTGAGGTGAGTGCTGGGCCTTCTCCTGCCCCTCATTCCCCCATTAGAGGCCTTTGACTGAAGCACAGCACCCTGTCCTGCCCACCAAATCTCCAGAGACCAGGAACATCCCCAAACCATCCAGTACTGCACCTACTGCCATTGTAGCCTTGACACCACCCCCAATGGGAGAGAAAGCACAGAGACCTGGGAGCACAATCCTCACACCCC